AAGTTTTTATAATAAATTAATTATTAAATTAACAAACAAGTACAATTTTTTTCCACATTTTTGGGGATGTGGGATAAAAAACAACCAAGTGAATTTAACTGGTGTATATATAAAAAAGTTTAAATTGCTCAATTTACCGTACTCAACTTGGTTAAGTAAATTTAACATCATTTTTAGAGTGGAAAAAGTACTTTTACTTTCCCGATTATTGTGAACAGTTTTATGATTTTTATTTAAATACTTTTCTTATCAGTGAAATTAATTATTTACAAAGTCATTTTCTGTTACAGTATTTTTAGTTGTTTTTTCAAGTACTTGACTTTGAGGTACTTTGTACAACAACGCAAGTTGAATAGCTCTGGTGTCGATTATCAGTCGTGCAGGACGTGACAACCATTCCTGAAGACGTCCTCTGACATCCATCTCATCCAGAAGACGTCTAAGTTTTGGTCGTGAGTTGGGGGTTCCAAACTGAAGAAGTCTTAGATGAGATTAAATGCTCAAAGTTCAGTTCGACAACTGTTGTAGCTCACCGAGTAGCTTGGTTGGACAGCAGCCCTAGTTTCAGTAACTTTCAGTACTTTTCATAGCATAAATAATACATTATGTAACAAAAACTAAAAAGTTAGGATGTCGTTAAACCTCTAAATTTAAATTCTTTCTCAAATTATTTATTAATGTTTCATAAAGCAGCTCGCCTTGACATTTTATGTTAGGCTGGCTGAAGAGAACTCTGCTTATCTCACAAGAGGACAGCCAGAATCCAGTTTTCTTGTCATTCGCTGGTTGTAAACCCCACCTGGATGAGAAATGAATCTTTGTCGTATTCTTGTCTGTCCATTTTACAGAGCAACTGGAAAAGTGCAGAGAGTACACCGGCAGGGTGACGCTGTGAAGATGCAACATTTAAAAGGGCACCGCGTCTCCTCGTCTTATTCCACAGCACGTCCCGGAGGATGTAGTTTGACTTATTAAATGATATGACATATTCTAATATTTGCATATGTACAGATATTTTTCCTTTAGTGTTGAGTAAATTTCAACTGATATATTCTTGTAAACATGTTTATAAAAAAATTAAGTAGTAGCTGTTTATCAGCTGTAGAGGTCCATCAGTACGGCGCGGTATCTGGGTCAAAATTAAGATCATTAAGCTGTGTTCRGGATGGATGTCGTCGTTTCGAACTTCCGAGTTGTATTTTTCAACTGGAACGCCCCCTGAAGTCGTAGTTTCGAGTCGAGAGGTCGGCGCAACCGGACCATAACCGAGCAGCCCGAGTATGCATTACGTCATCATTTCAACATGGCTGCCGCACGCATGAAACTCTTTACTTTTACTGTTTTTTTCCCCACTTCTGTTTTGTTTATTTTACATTAAGTCAGACATACTTGTAGTGCTTTGTAGTGATTATTAAAAGCTATGTTTTAACACTGTTTGTACACTCAAAATGCCTTGTAGAGCACTATTACTGTGTTACTGTTGCAGAGCAAAAAAAATTGAAATGCTTTTTCCGACATTTGAAACTGAAACGCTTTCAACTCGGAACTGATGTCAGTCCGGCTTCAGAATTTTGAGTTCCGACTGGAACACAGCATTATCCATGCTAGTCGCTAGTCTCTCCGATGCTAACACCAGCTTATCTACGCTAGTCGCTAGCCTTTCCGATGCTAACATGAATGAATAGGTCTTTTTCATTTGCCAGCGCCGGCCTCTAAGTCACTGGTGCTGGCCTATCATTAATCAGATCTATAATTGATTTAGCAATTGATTTAGCCTCCTGCTACAAMGATGTAGCAACTACTGTGTGCACAATAGTCTTAATTTTGGCCCTCATACCGCACCATACATCAGAGGTGCAGGGATTGCTTTCTGCAAGTTTAATTAAAATCTGGTGATTCATGAGATATTTTGCTAACAGTACAAACTGAAATTTTTGCCATAATTGTAACAATTAAGTGCATAGATTGAAAATATTCTGATAGGTTTAACTGTTAACAGTTTAATTTTAAATAAATAAGATCTAAATGACTTTTATATCAAACTGAACTCTGAAATTTTCTTGTTTCTGTACATTTTTTATATCCATTGTGCAAATGCATAAGAGTAAAACATGATTTCTGCATCACTGTGAGCATCAGGTATAAACTTTATGCAGTTTTAAAGATGAGGAGGAAGATGCTTTATGTAATGGCACCTATGGGAACTAATTATTAATTAATGCCACATTAATTGAAAGAGGATGTTTCTTCTCCTCCTGAATGATTTATACAACAGATTTAAACTAAATTCCTGTTTCTGCTTCTCGTTTGGGAACACGTGCAGCGCTGCAGACTTTTCCTCCATCTTGTTATATTTTAATCATGAATTACGGTACTTGTTTTTCTGCGTTCATTTATTTAGACTCTGTGTGAATTTAAATAAGTGATTTCTGTTGAATGTTCTGTTTTAGTTCTGTGAATTTTGATTTGTTAAAAAAAACTGTTTATATTGATTATGACTGATTTATAATAAATAAAAGGGCAAAAACACATTCAAGAGGGTGACTATTTTTAGAGTCACTTTATATCAAAGACTCAAAATGGAGAAAATTTAAAATAGATAAACCAATCTTTAAGCAACGGGTGATAATTGGATGTTGACATCAAAATTAGTTTACAAACTAAAAAATAAGTGTCCTGATGTTTAATAATTCATAATTAATCACTCCCAGATCCCCCAAAACTGCATTTTTTTTTCTACTTTTCCCGGTGACATAATCCTCACCTGACCTAAAAGTCTGAAGCGGACAGAAAGAAGCAGCTTCACWGCCTCTGTTGTTTTGGGAACTTGTGTTCATTTCCTTTGCAAATTGTGTCCTTTTGCAAGAATAATCTTTGAGCTGAACTTGCTTGAACTGGCATTTGGGTTATTTTCATGTCACATGTTGACTAACTCATGGGAATTTATAACTTAGTGCTGTCTTAATTATTATTGAAAATAAAAAATATTTGTTTATTGCTCTGAGGTCAGAAAWGATGGTATATAATATAAAGACGCTTTTGAGTTTTCTTTAACCACCAAGGACCCCTACTGGTAACTAACACACATTACAGTGTAGTAATGATCAGGAGAATTTAAAAAAGGAAAAAACTAAGTGCTAGTTTCCAGTCTTTTATTTGTTATTTTAGCATACACCATAAAAAAACTAATATTCTTTTAAACAAAGACACAAATTTGTGTCTAAAGGTACAGAATGACAGAACAGTCAGACATAGAAAGATAGCAAGCAGGTCGCAGCTCTGTAGTGTCAATAATCTCACYTTCTTCAAAACATGTATGAATTATTAAACCGCGTCTTTACGATCCAGGCCTCCGGGAAGCCGATCCTCGGGCCTCAGGAAAGTGCTGAATCATTTAACTCGAGGCCCATCGCTCATTTGCCATTCAAGCAGAGCTGGGTGTGGTTAGGTTCCAGCTCGTCTGAACACAAACAAAACCCTCGCGCTTATTATTTATTTTTATTTTATTTTTTTCGTCCTTTCCACAGGAAACAAAAAAATCCACCCTACTGACAAGAACAGACTTCTGTCTGAAGTTTGAACGTCTGGTTTCCCTCCGCGGCGGGGCGAAACCCGTCWGGCTTGTTGGACCGGTTTGACACAGTGGCAACGATCTCAGCGGCATCACAATCAAGGCATGTYCCATAAATATTASTCTAACCACTAAACCCCAAGAAAAACAAAAGGTTAAAATTTGGATATATAGTTTATCACAAAGACTTYTGCGTAGAATTAAAACAGTGTGACTTTAAATGAAAAGCAGGGAAATGGACTCACGTGATCAGATGTAAGAGCAAAAACAATACAAAACAAYAAGATGTGGCTCTTACAGAACCAACTTTTTCCAATGAGAGCCCAGATGCACTCAGTGAGTTAATCATATTTGTATAACTGAGGTAAAAATTCAGCATGTTTAAAATCTATATGAATTGACTTTACTGTAGAAGAATGGGGAGAAAAACAACCAAAATGTTAAGCATTAAACCTTTCCCACTCTCTGTTCTGAGCTGTGTATATGATGGACACAGGCCTGTAATGTGTGGTAGAACGGTGGTAGAAAGTTTAGGTTTTCTTTTTCAGCTCCTCYAACCGCCGCGTCAAATCGTCGAAGTCGATGTCGTCGGAGGTGGAGGCGTTTCCGCCGATGGAGGACGTGGGGAGCGTGTCGGGGACYGAGGGAAGTTCTGGTAGAGCGTTGTTGTCGTAGGACGCGCGGGGCTTAGGAGTAGGACCTGAAGAGAAAACGCACGGGTCAACAAGTCTGAACCACAGACTTGAATAAAAACACTAGACTGAGCCCCGCCCATCCTGTCCACTGGTAGCATCTGTGGCAGCATGGAGGAGCAGAAACAGACCAAACAGGGCAACAGCTCACAGCCTCCATAGAAACTAATAGATAAACAGCAGCTGAACTGGATCTGTTTCACAGATTATCTGTCATGTTTTGAAATTAATAATTATGTTATTTTCATTCAACAATCATGTAAAACAGCAAATTTATACCAGAAAAATATACAATTTACAAATAACAATGATCGAAACCAGACCTGAAGTCAGCCTGTAGACGTTTTAGCTACAGTAGTTGAAAAATGTTGACTTAAGCTTATAATAAAGTATTTTTATTAGTTATTTTATTTTATTGTAAGTAAGTATTATTTATTCTTACTGTCATAAATAAGAAGAAGAAGAAGAAATATTTACCAGTCAACAGTTAGAAAAATGTTCGCTGGTTGTTGGATGAAACTTGTCTCTATTAGCTAACCATCTTCTCAACAGGTCAGGTTCCTCTAACAGAAATCTAAAAATACTCATATTTATAATATTATTTTACACTCTGTAGGTCTATATATTAATCAGAGGACAAATCAGCTGTAATATTTAATAGTTTGTGTTCAATTGTAGCATGATTCAACAGTGCTAAACTCTGTATATATGCTCCACAGGCTAATTATCTGCTAACCAGTTCAATAAATAACAGTGATTACAGTGATTAGCAGTAAAACAACCAGTGTAAAGCGACAAGTGCTCCTTAGACAAAATTTACCATTCAACATGACGTCAAGCATAAATATTAAACATAAAATATGTTACTATCAAGCAGACAGCTTTACTTACTACCTGAATTAGCAGCTAAGTTTGCCCTGATCTATTGGTCGACGGCGGGTTTTTTTTTTCTTTTTAGCCGAATAATGAGAAACCTCTGAACTGTAAAGTTGGGGCTTTTTAGAGAAAGTTTAGTTTATAGAGAAAGTTTTCTTTATTCAGAAAGATTTGTGCCTAATTAATTAGGTGAGCAACCGAGGCATTCTAATCTCTAGTCTCTCCAACGCTAACGCTAGCTTATRCATACTAGTRGCTAGCCTCTCCGATGCTAACYCTAGCTTATCCATGCTAGTCGCTAGCCTCACTGATGCAAACGCCAGCTTATACAWGCTWATTGCRAGCCTCCTCCATGCTAWCYRAAATGAATAGTCTCCTCATTTGCCAGCGRTGGCCTCTCAGTTACTGGGGCCAGCTGCTCAGTTAGCGGTGCCGGTCTATCATTATTCAAATCAATATATGGCTTAGGATAGATGTAGCCTCCTGTACACAGATGTAGCAACCACTGGTTGCGRAATAGTCTTAATTTTGGCCCTCATACCGCGCCATYAAAAAGAGCTAAATCTATCAGTGATGAGCTGATGGGATTCGTCAGTTCCATTCCCAGAGACAGGAAAAAATGCATTATTGTTATAATGTTACTGATGAAATTAAAGGTTCAGCATTTCTTGATCTGAACCCATGATCTGTTAGTTCTTAGAATATGTGTTGGGACTGTATTTCAGCAACTACCATACCAAATTTTAACTCAATATCTATAAAATGAACAAAGTTATTGCCATGTTTGTGTTTACTGAAGTTGCTCGGGTTTATGTTCACTTGATTATATTAAGACATTCAGTTAGTCATTAGACACTCGCTAACCATGACAGTCACATGAGCAAAAACATGATCACCTTTCACCCTTCTTGACAAGTTATAATTTAGGTTTTTTTCATAAAAAACAAACAAACACTTCATTCATTTTGTTCTTTAACTGCAGGGTTTTTAAGGCTGGACTCACCGACAGTCTGGGAAGGAACAGAAGGTTTCTGAGTAAAATCATCAATCTGAAACATTAAAAAAAAGTCTTACAAATCATATCATTTTGGTCCTGAAGTAAAACTTTGTTAGTATTGAATCAACACAACACAAAAAATGCATTAAGGCATTAAAGCAAAAGTCAAACAGAAAAAAAACAGGCGTACAGAGGACTTTTTGGGGGGCGTTGAAAGCATCACCTTCAGAGCCACGAAAACAAGTTTTAGGTTTTGTTCAAAAGCCTCTTAGTCAAGCTCAGCAACTGCTCACGTTGTGGTTAGTTCACATTAAGCATTCCCCTGCAGTTATRTCAGAAGATATCTGATTATTGACACAATTTTTATACATTCAACTCTGTCCACTATTAAATGTTTACAGATAAAACATCAGAAATGCAAACAAAGGCAGACTTTAGTCTTTGACAGTTACATTCGACAGAGTTAGAACTCTTTTGTAAACAAAGTTTTTATATTTTCAGATGTTAAAATGTACATTTGTAGAGAATCTTTTCTTTTACTGCWGCTATTTGTCTTTCTGTCAAAGATTTAGTTAATCTGGATTGYAAAGTTTTAACCAATCGGCTTAATTTATTCGAATGTGTGCAGAAAGTATCTGTTTATGTTTCAAATTTTGAGCTGATGCTTCTGTTCCTGATAGAAGTGGTGTTTGCTGATGACAACAAAATACATCCAAATATGCATCTTATATTAAATTTGATTTATCTGCACAAGCTGCACTAAGCCTTCCTGATGTTCTGTTAAAGATTCATCTTAGTTTTGTTTCTACAAAGAAAGATGTTTTAAAAGAAAAATCAGCTTTATACATTTTAAATGCTTAATCAGGAGGAGGTAAAGAAACAAACCTAATCTGTGCACGAAAACAGCTTGGAATCAATTTTCTAGCTGCCTTAAAAATACAGTAAATCTGTTAGCAGTAATGCTAAATGTTTTTAATTTGAGGTGGAGTCTGCACTTCAATCCCATTTTCAGCGACGTATCTGCAACTTAAATGAACATGAGCAAACAGTTAAATTCATAAAGATTGTGTCAAATAAACTCAATGGTACATTCATCTGGATAAAGCAGGCCCACTCTGAGCTTTGATGTAAAAAGTATGGAAGGCGAGCAAAACTGCGAGCAAGCCGAACAAACGGTCCTTCCCTGAGTGACGCCCTGCCCTGTCCGTCCGTCTGTCTGTCTGTCCACCTGTTGAGGCAGGAAGGGGTGGGGGGATTGGGGGAGGGGCTTGTTTGTTAAGGGCACCGTCACTTACAGACTCGTATGTGGGAGGAGAAGTGGGCAGCTCAGGAGGCTGCCCTCCTCCCATGGGATGTGGGAAGCTGTTGTAGATTCCAACTGGAGTGTGAAAGGGCTCCTGGAGGAAAAACGTTTCTGTCACTAAAAATGTTGCATTTCCTTCTTTCKGTTTAGTTTAAGGATTATAAATATTTACTTCAATGGCCAAAAAAAAAAAAGTCCATAATAGTGGTCAATATGATCATATGTGACCCATCACATCGAAATGAGGGTTGAGTCAAATATGGTCAAAAAGGCCTAATTACATTTTCAGATTCCTGGCTTTAAATGCTATATTTTGATACCTGGATCATTCTGATGTCATAAGTAAAWTCATATRTGTGACCCATCACATCGAAACAAGGATTAAGTCCAAAAGTGGGATGTGGAGAAATAAGCAGATATAGTGTTTTGATATAAAKCTGTGTAAAACTTGCATTTTGTCAAAATATTAATGCCTAATTAATGCTAATTAATGCCTTATCAATGAATCATTTGAATYAACTGTCTGAAATATAATCTTAAAAGTAATTTTGAAGTATTTTTTGAGCAGTAGCAACAAAAAAAAACTGATTTTGCGGAAAAATGCCTTAAAATCTATATTTTTTCTCCGTGAGCTAGCAATGTTTTTGTTTCTTTCCAAATGGGAAATCTTAATATGCAAATAATATTTGTGGTTTCCTCTTTATATTGACATAAAAAATGACTCAATAAATTTATATAAAATTAGGATTCAGACCAAACAGTGATGTATTATAGTAACCAACAAGACACATTAAGTCATATCTCTGGATCAGTTTATGATATCAGAATGATCCAGGTATTAAAATGTAGCTTTTAAAGCAGGAATCTGAACATGTACATGTCCAAATTTGACTTAATCCTCATTTCAATATGATGGGTCACATTTATGACTTAATTTGTTTTGATGGTTACAATAATACATAAATATTTGGTCTGAATCCTAACTTTATGTAATTTTAATGAGGAATTTTTGATGTCCTTATAAAGAGGAAACCTCAAATATTATTTGAATATTGAGATTTCCCATTTGGAAAGAAGTAAAAACTTTGCTTTCTCAGGTGTTTTTCCACAAAATCAGGTTTTTGTTGCTACTGCTTCAAAATTTTGTTATACGTTTATATTTCAGACAGTTCATTCAGTTGATGCATTGATACGGCATTTATTTAATGTTTTGACAAAATGCAATTTTTGCAACAGTTTTAATCAAAACGCTGTTTGCCTTTTTCTCCATAAACCACTTTTAGACTTAATCCTTGTTTCGATGTGATGGGTCACATATTTACTCCAAGCAGATATTAAAATAAGTCTCAGATTAAGTCATAACAAAATGATTATGAACAGAATAAAAAATAAAAATGAATCCCTTACAGCTCCTTTGGGAGGTGGATAGTTGAACGCTGATGGCATGGGCATAGGCATGGGCATGGGCATGGGCATAGCAGAAGCAGGAGGAGCACTGAAACCTCCGCCGCCTCCTCCTCCTCCGTTCTTCCTGTCGGCATTCACATCAATCAGGTCCGCCTCCTCTCCAGGACACACCTCAGGCTGTAAGGGAGCGGGAGGAGACAATGTGTCGGTAATAATAAAAAACATGACATCATCCTTTAGAGACGGGATCCCAAAACGTACGTGGACCACAGCYTCAGGTTCATAGGGCACGTTGTAGTTCTTGGCGATCTCTATCAGGTAGCGCTCCACTAGAATCTTGGGAGGAGCCTCAACACTTAGTTTGTGCATCAGCTGCGAACATATCAGACATTTAAATCAGATAAGATTACAGACAAAAAGGCATTCTTGAAGATGAATCTGGGCGATCACTGGAAAAATATTGCTAACCCTGTCGTTGACTGTGCCAATCTGGTTGTTCCTGCATAGCTTTCCGTACTCCTTGCTATATTTTGCACACAGCTGTTCTGACACCTGAAAAAAACAAAGGAGAAAATCTTTTAAGAAAAGTCTTTATCGACTAAATCTGTCGGCAATACTGTCATAGAGAAGCAGAACTAACAATTTTCAGTTCAGAAACCTCCGACTGGAGACGAGGCGCCGCCCAGATGAGTGTGGACACAGCCTCCTGCAAACCTGGATCGAGTTCCCTGCCGGGTGAAAGACACGTGGATCAGAACCGAGACAGGCGCACAGAACCGAGACAGGCGCACAGGTTGCCCACAGGTGTGTTTCGGTACTCACTTCATGGACTGGATAAGGCCGAAGCGAGTCAACAGCAGGTCACAGTAAAGCTCAAGGATCTCCATGGCTTCAACCAGGTAGTCCTCTCTGATGATGTGCTCAACACGGATCCGGGCCCGCTCATCCTTACCAGATGACAGATAATCTGCAATCTCCTTCCTTGCCTTTTGAGCGAGCTCACCTTAAAATTTATGAATATGTAAAAGGTGAACTGTCAGCACAGGTGCAAGACATTAAATCAAAACTAAAAGCTGGACTCACTTTTCTTTTTCTCAAGGAGTTTGAGTCGGTTTATGACCAGCCTGAGGTTGACTCTGAGCCTCTCTGCTTTGAATCCTCCTCCTAGCATGATGGCGARGACTGACAGACGATCTGTGGACACAGGAAAGCATGAAGACCAGAACATACACGGAACCAGCTGATCCAGTGACTCACCTCATCATGTGAGCCTGACCAATACTTTACAACAAAATAACAGCATAGATTTACCCTCCAACAATTCAAACACGCATGTAAACACAAAGAAAACTAAACTAACACTGTCCGAGTCTGAACCAGCCTGAAAACTGAAGCTACTACTCCTCGAATAGCTACTATAAAGGCGTTAGCTTGGCGCCTACTAASAAGAAACTCACGACTTTTAACCTTTACATATCTCTTTATGTATTTATTTACATCTCTTTGATTGGTTAAAATTTCACACAAAGGTCTGTTTCAGAAATTCGTTCCTGTATTGATTTCAACCTGTTAGCTGGTCTTGAGTTGGTTAGTGGTTATCGCTGTTAGCTTCCGTGCTAAAGCTAAAAGCTACCAAAACAAACCAAAGTCAACAGAAACACTCAAATATATTTTTAAATAGGTCATTTTTTAAAGTCACCGCCACTAAATAAAGTGATAAAAACTTACCACTGCGTAGCAATCAACCGCAGGCACCAACTTATTTGGGTTTCTGTTTCGTCGCCTGTTTTACTTCCGCGATGATCCGAGARGACGTCATAGGGACTTTACCGAAGGGGGCGGGTCTTAAACCGACTCATGCGCAGGTGTGCCCCGAAACCACAACAGGTTCAAGGGGGAGAAAAAAAAGGCCTAAAAATAACGTGTAAAATTTCATCACGTGCTTATATTAATATACACATTTTATTTTTATATTAAACATCAAAATAATACTTTTCCC